AATACATCGGCCGGATCCTCAAATGTAGAGCAAAATGAAAGATCCTTGGAATCGTCGGAATTGCGTGATAAAAAAAGGTAACACTTGTTATAATAGAAGTAGACATATGCGTGTATCACATAAAACTGCCTATAAAATTTACATTAAATTTTCCGAAGTCCAGAATTTCTTCCTCTTTCCATACTGTGATATACTGATATACATATACTAATGTACACACGCGTCAGATATAGATTCTTTTTAATAAATACAGAGGTACAATTTCTCTATGTATCCTTCATCAAAGCATTATGAATTTTAGATCGAATTCTAGGGAATAGCATAGATTGACCAACGCCACTCAATATTTGAAAAGTTGGTTCTTATTTTATTATATGTGCATTAAACTCACTGCCATGTAAATGGTCAATTTTCGAGTCAATTTTCACAAGTTAGCCGGTGATGCTCAACCCTAGTATTGTTTAGTTATTGTTTATTTAGCGTTTTTTAAAGCATTAAAAATAAAATCATTTGTTAATGGATTTTATTTAAGTTCCCTAAACTCTAATCAATTTCTTGAAATTTGAAACTCACTGTTTTCTGCTATTATGCAGTGTAAAAGATTTTTGGTGCATTAGTATATATTTATCTAAAAAAAACCCGCATAGGTAAATCTAGTAATTACAAATTATTCTAGTGAAACACAAACACCATCAACTTGCAATACAATCACTCAAAAACTTGTACAAATGGTACTCTAGTTGTAAAAGAAGAGGTCCGTTGGGGAACAGGGCTTATTAGTAAAATTATTTTCAAGTGTACCGCTTGTCCAAACGAGTATAGCTACTTTACTGAAGATCCGAAAAAAGAACGATCTAAAATTAATTTTGGAGCGGTGTGGGGTACATTGGCAGTAGGTAGCACATATGGACATTTAGAGGAATTTTTATCAGTAATCGATGTTCCACCATTGACCCTTTATAAGTTTAAGCAAATTGAAAATGAATTGGCCAACGTGAGTAAAATTCAGCAATTTTGGCATAAAATTATTATGTTTTTTGTAGGCTTGGAAAGATAGTTTCTTTTCTGATATGGAAGAAAACGGGAAAGAGGAGCGAAAACGAGCAATAAAAGCAGGCCAAATTGATACAGATGGTACTCCATACACAACTGTCTATTTAGATGGAGGTTGGAGTAAAAGGTCATATGGTCATAGCTACAATGCATCTTCTGGCACAGTAAGTTACCTTTATTTTGCAAAGCACCTTTGAAAGAGCTATTTTAGGCGATAATTGTGGGAAAGTTATCTGGAAAGCTGCTATATTTAGGGGTTAGGAATAAATATTGTAGCATATGTGCAAGAGCCGCTAATAAGCAGATTCCTATAGGGCAGCATGTCTGCTATAAAAATTGGTCCGGTTCTTCGTCCTCGATGGAGGCCGATATTGTTGTAGAGGGATTTTGTAGGTCCCAAGAAATGCATGGGATCCGATATAAATATTTTATTGCGGACGAGGATTCCAGCGTGTATGCCAAAATTAGAGCAAAGGTGCCATATGGCGAGCAAGTGCAAAAAGTTGAATGCACAAATCATGTCATTAAAAACTTTGGAAAGGCCTTGCGTTTTATAAAAAATGACAAAAATGTACACCTGCAAGCACGGAAATTACTAACTGGGAAAATTATTGAAGAGTTAGGAAATAGAGTGCAAAATGCAATTTATGACAACGCGTTAGGTGACGTAGAAAGTCTTAAGGCTGACGTCGTTAACAGTCCATACCACGTCTTCAAAGACCATAGGAGCTGCAGAGATATTTATTGTGAGGACGTAGGTAAGCTCGATGAGAATTTGTCAAATTCGTTGCGTAATAGTGGACTGTTGCTGCACATTAAAGGTAGTAAAAAAAATTTCATAATTAACATAATTTTAAGTACCACTTTTAAAGGTGCCCTAGATAATGTGTTAAAGAAATCCCATAAGCTCATTAGTAATGAAACTAATAATAGAGCTGAGCTATACATGGCAATCCTAGCGCGCTTCAATGCTGGAAAAAGATTAAATTTAACACAGAGAGGATCTTTTGAAACCAGGTCACACCTAGCGGGTTTAAGATATGATAAAGGGACATCCTGGCACTACAGTCCTTGGAGAAATGTTATTGGAGAAAGCCCTGGCTCCCATTTCAAGGAGTATATGATACGCCAAAAACGATCCCGAGAAATGAAAACCGAGCACAGAAAAAACACCACTCCATACAAGAAAGATCTGATGGTTCCAACCGAGCAGCCTAACTTTGATTATGGACCAAATGCTGAGGAAGGAGAACTTACCAAAGAAGAGTTTGATTCCGAAGTGAACAGAAGGTTACATGAATTTCAGGTACGTACCCATTTTTGTATTTACCCAAAACTGGGATATCATGTGCATTGTAGATTACAGGAAAAGATGACCAAGACTTAATTGCCAACGAGACGTTGGGCCAGTTCGACAACCATTTGTACATAAACCGTCGAAAACACCGACTAACGGCGTCAATTTTTGGTCAAGTGGTTAAAAGACTTCCGACAACACCCTGCCATAATTTGGTAAAGCAAATACTAATGCCCGCTGTGATAAAAAATAGCAGAGCAATGGAGTACGGGAAGAATAGCGAGAGCATGGTGAGAGAGAGATTTTCCCGAGAAAATAACATACCCGTGAAGGAATCCGGTCTCTATATTGACTTAGATAGAGGTTATTTAGCTGCGTCTCCTGATGGTAAGTGTAATGATGATTATTACTTACAGTCTTCAAACTCTACGTTCATAGGACTAATTGGCACAGATGGACTGATTGAGATAAAATGCTTATGGAAAATTTCGCAAGAAAGACAATCGCTTATGTTTGCAGTAAAAAACAAAGTAGTTCCTTGTTTGGAACTCAATTCAGATGGTAATATAAGTTTAAAACGAAATCACAACTATTATTTTCAGGTAATAGTTATATCTTATGTTACATGCTTAATTTGTTTTTAAATACTATAAATTCATAGGTTCAAGGACAACTTAACATTACAAATAGGAAATACTGCAAATTTATTGTCTATTCAGGAGACAATAATCCTCTCTTCATAGAAAATATAGAGAGAGATCATGAATTTCGGATGTCACGTATGGTACCGAAATTAGAAAAGTTTTACCTGGATTGCGTGCTACCAGAAATCGTTAGGGGAAATTTGCAAAAACACAAATTATGCATCGATCCCCCATATATATCAGAAGCCATTCGGAAAAGAGAGGAGGAGAAACAGGTTAAATTAAAATAAATTAATGTTAGTAAATGCAGTTGTGTGTAGAAATGTGCCACGAATCGAATCCTTAGGAATTTCTCCTTTCGTCATAAAATGTTAGCATTCTCTGGTAGGTAGCCATGTAAACGAGTTACGAGACAGAAGAAAAGATTCTTCTAATGAATAACTTATTGCCACCTCACAGTATTATTTTGAGGATGAGATGTATGTAACTACTGTTAGGTCGTATACCCTTCTTTGACAAACCAAAAAGTGACAATACAAATGATAATTTAAGTACCTATCAATTTAGAAATTCAACTAAAATTTCCATCAATTCACCAGCGTGATCCGTGATTACACTGCTGGTTTACAAAAGAAGTACCTAATCAAACTTTTTTAGAACATTGTTTTGCGCATGCCAACTTTCTTATTAGCATTGGAAATGCTTATGTTTTATGGGTATGAATTTACCAGGTTTGCCGAGTAGAAAAAAAGACAGTGGTGTCGCGTCTAGTGCTGATT